CTGTTAGTATTATTATCTCCGCCAGGAGATATATGTTTTCGTTCCGTGATGTTTTTGTGTGTGTGTTAAACGCTTTGCTGTTTCAGTTTTTTTTTTCTTATGTTCACAATATCTCAAAAACGGCTGCACAGAAATAACTGAAAATAACAGGGAGTGTTAGGTACAACACAATGAAGAAATGATTAAAGAGTAGGGTGTGGATGTGAGGAATATCATAACGAATTTGTCCTACAAGGTATCTCAAAAACTAATCAACCGATATAAACTTTCGTGAAAGTTTAACCAAGTTACAAGGAAGAAATTGTCAAGTGTAGGTCTCGATCCAAATTCTGGGGGTGAACGTGAAGGTCATCATCAAATGTTTAAGGTCCCACGTGTTTCTTGTGTTCAAAATATCTCAAAACAGCTGCACAGATTTAAATGCCTGTTACAAGGATTGTTAGGTATGAACCAAGGATGAGGTGATTAAATTTTGGTGACCATCCAGCGTTAGGGTGTGCGTATGAGGACCATTTAAATGAAAACGTCCCAGAACAGATATTTCAAAAACTAATCACCAGATATGAATGAAACTTTTGTGAAAGCTTAACCTAGGCACAAGGAAAAAATTAGTAAGTGCTGGTGATATGATGATCCAAATTCGGGTGTGCATTTGAGGGCCAAAAGGTCACAGACCTAAATATCTCGAAAATAGATCAATGGATAAAAATGACAATTGGCAGAACATTTTTCATGTTTTAATAAAGAAGTGTGTCAATTTTAGTAGCGATCGGAAGTAGGGTGTGGATATGAGGACCATTTAAAGAATTAGTTTATCGTATTACTGTAGGCAGAAACAATAGCAATATGATAAATATATAAATTAGTGCAGTTACAGTAAATGTGAACAGCATTTTATATGTACTAACTTCACTTTCTTTCTAAACATATAGGGAATATTTTTAATTCATCTTTTTATTTAAACATGTGACGCTAAAAACCAAATCCCCGTATTTCTATTTCCAAAATATTTCCATTTCAACACCAATACATTGCATGTATTTTGTTTGTCAGCTATAAGAGTAAACCTTTCCAGAATGTTAAGCCAAAACATGTCGGGAATTGACAGGTGTACAACTGATACAATAAAAGGCGTTCGAAAAGTGAAGTGATTACATTTTGGTGTCGATTATGGACCATTCACAGCAAAACGTCGCAGACTCATAACTCATAATTCATCTAAATTAAACTTTTGTGTTGGTGTAATTTTTTTAAAGTACATAGTGGTTGGAAAGTACATATTTTTGTGGTGGGCGGAGATATGCTCTCTACTGAGTGCTTTTGTTATTTTATAAATTATTTACAAAACCATTGTATAACATTGAAACATGAATTATGTGGACAAAATTATTATCATAGAAAATAAACTTAAAATTTATAAGATTATTTTTTAAAACAGAATAATATTGTTATTTAAAAGACAGGTTTTGCATAGACGTAAGTTGA